TTCTATCACATCACTTAATTCAACATGGGTTTTCTTGACTAAACATAGTCTTTCCCACTCTAGGTATATATTAGTAAATAGTTATTAAATATATATTCTTATACGTCAAAAAAAAAAAAAAAAAAATCCAAAAAAACCACTTTATGCTATCTTGCTTTCACTAGTTAGATTGTAGAGGGCATATTTACTATTTTCCACGTCAATGGTGTTATCACTTATTGATTGCGAAAAATATTAGGCTGTTTGAATATCATTTTGCAGCAAATTTAAGGTGCGAAAATTTAAACATAATTTCGAAGATAAATAGAAATCTGTATTTGATGAAGAGTGGTAAAGTATTTTGTTGATTTTGAAATTCCTTCTGCCTCTCTGTTTACATCGATTCATTAAATCATAGGTTTCTTTTTCATAATTTTACAATTGTAAACTCTACATTTAATAGTTCATGTGAGTAATTAATTCTACCTTCTGTTTATCCAACTAAGTGGTTCTGCTTGTTTATCAGTGGCACGTTTTTTGTCTATGAATTCTTTCTAAAATTTCTCTAACTACTTTGGATTTTATTGAAGTATATTAGCCTACTTGAAAAAATGTGTAACATCAAGTGCTTCTCAAGTTTGTCGTTTGTTGTAGTAACAACCAAGATTCTAAAGCAAAATGTTAGGTGGACGTTCTCCAATAAGATGAATAGAGTAGGACACTTTGATCTTTTTTTCAAATTCTCTTTGACTACAACAAAATAGTAGATTTCAATATACTCGGAAAGCAGAAATATAACTAATAAGTAATGAGATTTTTTTTTTTCAAAATATTAATTTCAAAACTATTGTTTGTATAGAATTTTCCATAATCGTAGGTAGGGGTGTAGTACCTGTAGTATGTAGGCCGGAAGAAAACCAATAGAGGCATGGACAAGAGTAGGAAAGTTTAATCAATCAGTTTAACAATGAAATCAGTAGCTCAGTAGCAAACATCTAGTAGTCGAAGCATCAAGTTTACAGCGAGTATTAATTAATCTCGAGCGTTTAGTGTTTCATTCTGATTAAATTTAAGTTTCGTAGGTTCAGTAATTATATTAATAGACTTAATTTTTCTCCCTTTTGATCCGTGAGAGTAGGAGTTAGAATCTTTATTACCACCAATATATTTTTGATAACTATTATTCGCCATGGCTTCTTTTGCAACCATTTAGGTTTCACACTTCCATTCTATCGGATTGATACCGGTTAATTTTTTTTGGCAAGAATTCCTAGCATTATACTAATTCCTTGGAGATAAATACTTATAATTACTTCTAGAAGATCGGAGACGACTCTCCACGATAAGAGCCTCTTGCATAACTGCAAAAAGATCATTATACTGAGTTAATTTTAAGGCTTCACGAATACGAGGTTTCAAGCCATCATTATAATCAAAAATTATGATAATGTGATTCCGGTAATTGGGAAGAGTTTGAAGCTGACCACATAAGTCCAAAAATTTATCATTATACCTTTTGACAGAACCTCTTTGAACCATGTTTATGAGACAACGTAAAGTGTCGAATTCATGAGAAATAAGTCTTCTCTTTCCACTAGTGAAGTCTCTTCTTTTTATAGTAGATCCATCCTCACCTGCAACATCACCAAAATGAGGTATATCAGTCAGAGAAAAAGAACTTTGGTGAGGGTGGACTTTGGTAGTATCCAGACTTCTGTTTTCATCAAAATGTTCCATCTTAAAATGCTAGCTGGGGAGGAAGAGAATGGAAAATTATTGAGGGATTTTAGATATTTATATTAACCTCCTCAGACTTTTGCAATTGCTGTGTCTGCCCTAGGGTCCGCCCTAGAGTGGCATAACGCAGTCATATTGAGCCAAGTGAATATACCGATACTGGTCCAAGTAAATAGGCATATAGACATACAGATAAGAAACTCTATTAAATGGATATAGTTTAGTATTTTCAAGTCTCTAGCCGCAACTTGGGATTTTTTTTTTTGCAGTAAATTTACCGAGCTTATCTATAGACGGGCAAATTTGAACCAAAAAACTACAGAAGCCGGTATATTTTAGAATATTATATTAAGTAAAGATTAAAGGAGAACTAAAAGAATAATAAATAAGTGCATGAAATTAATCAGAGGGATTTTTTAGAATTAGTATCAACTTGAACATCTTGTTTATTTTTAACAGCCTCTTCTTCACTAGTTTCATCATCTACGACTTCCAGAACGGTACCGTCACCCATGTTATGTAAATCATAACCTTGATCTTTCAAGTAGGCAATGAAAGCAGCATCTTCATTATCGATTGCATCTTGGTCAACAGTTGGACATAAGAATAAAGCCAAAAATGCCGAAAACATACAAAGAGCAGCACTAACAAAGAAAGGGGCTTGCATTTCCCAATCAGCAGAAACTTTACTAGCATTACTCATGATAATTGGGAAGATATAAGTACCAACAAAAGCCCCAATTTTCCCCACTGCAGCAGCGATAGCATAGTAACTACCTCTAACTGTAGTACAAGAAGTTTTAGCAGCCAATAAACCGATATTGTCACCAGGACCAAATTCACCGAAAGTTTGTTGGAAACCAAAAACCACCACAAAACTAGCGATATGTTTTTTCAAAGTAGGATAATGAGAAGCCATTGCAAAAGAGATACTAGATTGAATGACAAGAGCACCAGCAATGGTTAAACGAGGGCCGATATAATCTGCACTTAAACAACCCAAGAAAGCACCGGGAATATAAAATAAATTGAAAACGACATTCCAACCAAAATTCTTATATAAATCATCACCAGGAACAATTTCCAGAAGGATATAAGAAGAATAAGTTGAGAAAGAGTAAGTTGAAAAATCATAAATAAACCAAATGAGAGAAACCACAGTAAGCCTAAACCAGTAAAATTTAACCACTTGCCACCAGGGGAATTTTTTAGCAGAACGAACACTATGTTTTTTAAAACTTGAACTTTCCAGCATTTTTAATCTTAAGAAGAAAAGAGCCAAGGGAGGAATACAACCCAAACCAAGACTCACTCTCCAAACTGCAGTTAAATGATGATCAGAGAAAATCCAGAGACAAACCAAGGGAACAAAAGCAGAAACCACGAAACCAACATCAATACAAAAATTCGTAAACCAACAGAAATAACGATTTCTTTTACCAGCAGGTAATTCATTAGCAAATTCTGAAGCAATAACCGAAGAAGTTGGATACTCAGCACCAATTGCAATCCCCAAGAAAAATCTGAAAACAGTTAATGCTGCAAATAAACCTTGTGGAGAACCATTTTTACCCCAAGTACCAACTGCACAAAGTAAAGTGAAGATAATCAACATAGTATTAGCAATCATCATCCCTTGTTTTCTACTCATATGATCGGAAATATAACCAAAAGAAAGTTGTCCAACAATAGTACCAACGAAAACAATAGCTGAAATGTTGGAAATAGCCCTCGAATCAGTATAAGTCGTCCCATACAAAGTTTTCAAACAAGTATTAACCGTAGAAACAGAATTATTAACGTACCCATCAGAAAACAAACCTGCACCCGATACAAAAGCATTCCAAAGATTTTTTTTATTGACCTTACCCATATTCTTACGGGTTAACTCATCATCATCATCGATTTCCCCATTTTCTCTAGCCCTTTCTCGGTGCTCAAGCTCTTTCTGTTCAATTTGACTTCTGAGTCTTAATCTACCTGCAGGGGTTATAGTAACCTCTTTAGGGATTTTATCAATCCAGCCAATTGCCAAATCACGAAATGACTTTGGTAAATCTCTAGTAGCCATCTTGGTTTTCTAACGTTGATAATGGGTAAAAGAAAATCATTTTTTTCCCAAGCTACATATTGGAAGATTGTTGGTGATTTAAATACAAGCTGAAATATTAATCTGAAAGATAATGGAGAGATACTGCATGCGGCATCGAAATGAAAAAAAATTAATGCTAATTTTGTCTCTAATACTTATTTTTATTATTATTCTTTTCTTGAACCTGTAGGTTCAAATACCGAGTTTAAATCTCGAATTTTCTATCATGTATGGAAGCATATCTTTTACTAGTCGATTTCATTGAAAATATTGTGTGGTTTATGGGAAAATGGGTATGTTTCTCCAGAACAATCGGGTCTGGGATTCGGGGAACGTGCTTATCTTTTTGATTTATATGAAGGAAGGCTTTCTTTATCAACGTGGATTAATTAAATTCCTGCGGATGTGAATCCAAATGTGCCATAAAATTGATTGCCGTGTAATCGAAGCGTGTTTGAGTGCTTAGGTAGTCGTTTGGGTAGTCGTTTGGGTAGTCTTCTGAGCTATTGGATGGGTTCCATTGGGCTGGGCCATGCTCACATGTCAATACAACACAAACGTGGAGGTGGCATTCCAATTCCGGTGATAAGCGTGGTGTTTGGGTCTTTCGTGGGGAGTCCTTTGCAGCCGATTTATTCTAATTTAAATTATAGGTACTTTTAAAGTATATTTAGATTTATGTATAAGTTACTTAGTCCATTCAACGGTCCAGTTCAACAGCTTGCCGGCCTTGAATGGGACAACGGTCAACTCGTTATTGCCAAAGGCCTCGGGCACAACAACTTCCCTTTTAACCAAAACTACTTCATCGTTACAGACAACCGATTTAACATTGTAGAAACTGCGGCCGAAATCACTGGCGAAACCTTTCAATTTATCTAAGGCCCCGACTTTTTCAAAAGCATCCGCCAAATAAGCCAAGGCAAAACTTTGGGTGTAAACCCCAGCACACACACCAACATGTCTTGCTTTACTCAGTAAAGGATGAGGAGCACTATCACTACCAAAGAAAAAATAAGGCTTACCTGAAGTGGCAGCTTCGATCAAAGCTCTTCTATCACTAGGTAACTTAGCAACCGGTTTACAAAAATTGATTGGATTACCAGCCCAATCATCGATTGTTAAACTAAGATGATGTGCAGTAATGGTAGCTGCCACTTTACTATGAGGGTTTTCTTGATGAATCAGATCCACGGTTTCGATGGCTTTGGCAGTGGTACAATGTTCCAAGATGATTTTTAAATTTGGGAAATCTCTACTTAATTTAACGAGAGCTGGTAAAAATTCCGGTTCGGCATTTAAAATATGAATATCTTCTTCGTGACTACCCGGTTTTTCTCCGTGTAAATTTAATACTAGGTTGTTTCTTTCCAATGCTTCGAAAACTGGATAGAATGGGGTGAAATCATTTGGATCAACCCCTTGGGATGAGTTGGTAGTCACCCCTGCTGGATAACATTTCACTCCTTGAATGGCTCCTAATTTGGCTGCTTCATCAATTAGTTCAGGGGTGATTTCTTTACATAAGTAAAAAGACATTAAAAATGTAGTCTTGGGTGCTAACGCTTCAAGCTCTTTCTTATATTCAATAACTTGCTTTAAAGTTGTCACTGGTGGGACTAAATTAGGCATGATGTACGCAATTGAAACCCCTCCTTCGCGAACAGTAGGTGCTATAAGCTTCATCATGTTTCCTGAACGAAGATGAACGTGCATGTCGGCAGTGAGCCCAAGGTGGATTCTATCGGTCATCTTTGCTGGTCTGTTAGTGTTTCTTGTAGGTTGTATTATAGTTGTCTTATCGGTGAAAATTTTTTTTATTATGATTGACGTTGAAAAAAAAATACTAGGCCTGGTGCACAGGCGTAAACCGAAATGTGGAGCAATTTGCAACTAAAACGCTACATATTCAACTGCACCTTCACTACAACTTACTAGTTTTATAGCCAAGTAAACATTATAAAGAAAAAAAAGTAATAACTTTAAGTATAAACATGAACCCATTAGAACTGAAGAGAAAGAGGGCTAGTCGAATACAAGAACACAAGGTAAAGATTACCAAGGTATCTAGCCACACGGACTGATTATATTAGAAAAAGGGAAAAAAAAAAAATTCATAGCTAATGATACAACAGATAAAATTGGACAAAGTTAATTTCTCGACACAGCAGATCTTTCAAGTAAAGCATTAACATCATTAGAGTTCAAAACAACCCCATTTTCTGAACATTTTGCTTTACTCTTTAATTCATTACATAAACCGTCGATATCGATTTCAGTATATTTTGGATGGGAAGTGATACGGTCCCAGATTTCAGAGCATCTGACCGTTCTTTCGGGGGCCGGTACTACTTCGTCATCGTCATCATCATTATTGGGTGTTTCATTAACAGTTGGGGTATTTTTATAATCAGATCTCTTATTGGAGTTATTGGAATTATAACTGGTATAAGATGAAGTAGAAGATTTGGCCGAATCACGTACTGAATTAGGACCACTCGAATCAACTGAAGGTAAACTACTCTTAACAAATTCATTAAAATTAAAGTTGGTATTAACCTCATCACTATAAGGATCGTAAGCAGATTCTTCAGTAGTCAAGTTAGCCAAAGGATCAGCTTCCTTTTTATTTTGATTAAAGTTATCTGCAAAAGCCAATGAAACATCAAATGCATTATCATTCAAAAATGATAATGGGTCATTGTTAGTATTCAACAGGAAATCATAATTGAAACCTTCACTATTATTGAAAAATGGATCATTATTAGCATCATTTTCATGATCGTTCTTGTATAAAGATGCAAATGGAGAATCTTGATTATTTACATCTAGACTATGATTATTATTTTTTTTGGCAAACTGGCTTGCATCACTAGTAGTAGTTGAATCATGTCTTTTATATTTAGGAATAGGACATTCTTTGGTACCACAAGCTTCATTAAGTTTTATACAAAAAGGTTCAACTTGTTCTTCAAAATTATTAGCAAAATCAGAATCAGTAGATTGGGATTCGGGAGAAACCAAAATATTATCATTAAGGGGAGAAGTAGAACTCAGAGACCCACCAGCAATCAAATCAGGTACTTGTTGATTAGAACGATCTTTACGTTTTAATTCATTAAATGATTGTAAATTATCTTTTGACCAAGGAAATTTAGATAATAGTTGTTTAGAAACTTCAGGAGATTCCGAGTCTTCTTCTTCTTTCTTTGGATTTGGATTAGATAAGTGGCCAACCTTAGTTGGAAGATTCAAATCAGAAAAATCAGAGTGTCCTCTATATCTTGCCAATTCATTCTTTAGCATATCAACTTGTGCTCTTAAAAAATCAGATTCAGTACTTACACGGACGTGTGCATCTTCTAACGACTTAACTTGATCTTCCAAATCCTTCATCTTACGTTCTTTACGTTCTCTATAAGCACGCTGAGCAGCTCTATTCTGAGCAGTTCTCTTGGACTTAGGTTCGGAATCTAATGGTTTACGACCTGGTTTGGTGTGGGCTTTCTTATCATCATGATCCGAGATTGGGGTGGAAACTTCCGAAATACTTCTCTTATCAGACATTGTTGGCATTTCTTATTATTTCAATACAAAAATTGAACTAATAGTAATCAATTTCTTAAAAAAAAAAATCAAGCAGCTCTTATCAGTATATATATTAACTCTGAGCAACTCAACGGCGGACTGGACTAAACTAGGGGGGAATGAACACTAAATCAATGTTCACTTAAGGAAAAACCTACTTCTTTAAGATGATTTCAATCAAGAAAAGTATCTTACTGACCTCCTGCTGAAAGCTCCTGTCAATGCAGTTGTGGATTTGCCCTTAGTTTTATATCCTTTTTTTTTTTTCCATTAGGAAATCTTCGCCTTTTCTTTTTCTATGGGGTTCTGCGCTCCCGGTATTTGCTCTGGCCACTTCCGAACACGAAGCCCGCCCTCGGAAATTACCAGAAGCCGTCCTTTTAACAGTTCGGGGTTACTCCTTCGGGGAGTTCCCCCGTCCTAACTGCGCGTGCCAGCGTTTTCCGAGGGCTGGTTTCAGACCGGTGAGTCATTGTGACCGGATCTCACCAATGCTGACAAATTCAATCTTTGCATAAAGGCCCGTACACACGACAGAAAAGGCCCGTACACCTTTTTGTTCGGGTGCTTTCTTTTCACGATCTGAAAAGTTTAACGACAGTTTACAACTTTACGATTGTTGCAACAGTTGAAGATGTCTTCAAAGCCAGATAATTCATATGTACGTAGTGCTGCCGCTAGGTCCTTGCTGCAACTTACTAACCAGAAAGCAGGAAGGGCAAATTGAAAACTTGCAGAAGCTTCGGGCAACCCTTGAATTGGTCAAACAGTCCACTAATAATATTTATAAAGATATCCAGACAGTTCATCTGAATAACCAGCAGATTATGCAGCTGGCACATACTACGGCCAAGCTTCTTGATAACTTGGAGTGAGGTCTTTGACGCATATAGGGTGAGACTTTTTGTTTATTGGTCTATATATAAGAGAGATGCAGAGTACAGTATCAAGTCTTCTTGATAACAGATATTTGGGGGAAATACTTGTGATAACCCGGTTGGATATGAATTCTATAGTCATTAGCGTTAAAGTTAGGTTCTTGTAAAGTCTTGATTAGATTGGTTAATTGAATTGATTGGAAAACACAGGTTTTAGCTAATGATTGATACCATTTGGTAATATTTACTTGATTTAATTTTGAATTGGATTCACTAATTATTTGATTTTTAATTAGGGGGTTCGATTCAATTAGCTTCAAGATTTGGTTATAGATCTCTTTAGCTTGATTAACTTTATTAACAATGACTTTCAAGATATCTTTGATTTGATTTAATTTCAAACTTTCACTATTGTATTTATTTAAGAATTCGGTAGAAATTGAATTCAAATATTGTTCATAAGTTGGTAATGTAGGTACTCCAACTGAAGACCAAGGTTTCATCCTCAAATTGAAGAGTAATTTTTGATTGACAAATTTCGATGTTTTAACATTCCCAATTTGGATCAATTTCAATGCATCATAAATTATAAAACTATAACGAATTGAATCGCATAGTAAGTTCATTGCTTGATTGATGGGTATCAAATACTCTTTGTTATATTGGGATTGCATTTCTAAGATTGGTAACACTTGAGTATTACAATATTGTTGATAATTTTTTAAATTTTGTTTCTTACTACCAGCTTTCAATTTTTTCAATCTTTTGGGGATTACATTCTTGATGTAATGAATTTTCAGACTTTGGATCTTGTCCACTCTCGTACTTAGATGTTCGGTCATCAATTGTGATAAATACCATAAGTACCAATACATTTGTCCAAATTCAAAATCTTTATATAAATCTAATTCAAAACCTGAAAGCGCAACTTCCATCATAACTTCTAATTTCATATAGTAAATAAATGAAGTAATAGATAAAGATAAATCTTGTTCATCCTCTTCATAATCTTTAGTATATTCATTGAAATTGTAAAGTTTATCACCAATTTGATGATTATTCCATAATTCAACTTCTAAATTCTCCAGTGACGCTTGTAAAGTATCCCAAATTAATATGGCCCTTGATAATAATTGACGTTGTCTACACCTATTATTCCCAGGAATTAAAATTAAATGATGGATCCCAGCTTCAACATCACCTAAAAGTTTATTTAATTGATCCATAATATTAGTTTTAGTGGTTGCTATTTGTTCTTCATTTCCTCCAATTGAATTCCAATAATCAGGACGTATTATATTAGAATTAAGACAACAAAAATTTTCCATATATTTCATAGTCAAACTGGTTATATTTTCAGTTGATGATCCAACAATTGATCTATCATCTCTAATGAAAAATAGTTGAAATAATCCTCTTGCTAAAACGCTATAATTTTCATCAATCTCTTGAGAAACGTCAAATTTTAAAAAATTAATTAATTGATTAAAATTATCAATATGACTTAATTTCCTAATGAATTCCAATAATCTTTCGAAGCAATTGGTTAAATTGGTGTAAGCTTCATCGGCTGGTAAACAATAGATTTCATTAGGGATACTTGGATTGTTACAATCCAATTGAACAAACATTGAAAATACTCCTGCTGGTGCTTCGTATTTGCTTGATTCAATTGTAGACTTGATGGTTTGGATAAGTTGTAAAGATTCTTTAATAAACTTACAATCGTGTTCTATAAGTTGGGGTCTCTCTTCATTGAAAATATTGATTGGTATAACGAATAGTGACAGCAAGCTTAAAATTCCTTGGAGCAAACGTAAATATTGAACGATGAGCTCAAGTTCTTTTTCATCTTTACCAGTTTGACTGTTAATCCATAAAACCGAATTATTGATTTCATACATAATAGTTTCATATGGAATTGAGATCAAATAATCAAAATCCATACTTCTAGTAGTCAAATCTTCTTCTTCATATAAAACATTCATACCAACAGTCAAAGTAAATCCAATGATTTTACACAACCCCATAACAAAGCTTCTCAATACCGTATTGGTTAACTTATGTTCGAATGATTCGTCGTCATTTGGTACGCTTCCATATAATCTTTCATTTCGAAAAGTTGTCTTTTTCAAATCTCCGCCATGCTTCAAATAATTCTCTAAAAAAGTTTGAACATATCGACAACTTAATACTGTCACTGGTAACGATGAATTGTTTAGCCAGCTCATATACAGTATAACCAACTGATTCATCACGCCAATCACAGATGAAGCTTTTTGAGGTTTATAAGTGTCAAATTTTAATTCATCTTCACTAAGTGCAATCAAACCGGTATCCAATCGCTTATTTGATACTTCCAATGCTCTAGCACCTTCAAGCATATTGAACAACGGCGACTGCACGACATGGTTGTCCTTTATAACCTCCACAGACTCAAATACTGCTTTTGTAATGTCAACATATTCTTCTATATTATTATCTTGTTAGAATTTTCTCGTTATCAGATCCGAAAATGATGCAAACATACCTTTTTCATCCAGCAGCATCCTCAGATTTCAGTTTTCCTACTTCTTTCTCGGTAATATTTCCTCCAACTGGCTTGTGCTATTTATACTTGATTCGCCTGCGCTCTTCAGCTATGTGTATCCAAATGAATGGAGCAGGTACTTGGAGAAGGGAATCAATAATTTTTCAAAACTTTCAACCTTCGTTTCTCGTTTTTTTCAATGCTTTAAAGAGGTTTGTTATAGTTGTGCGCTATACAATTTTTGCATTTTGTGAGTAATTGGCCAATTCAGCTACCTATAGTAGCTGATTGAGTCTACTTATAGGAGTTTATTAAGTTTGTCGGGTTCCCTTTGAACCGTTAGGGTCAGCTTTTTTGGTGGCTTTTCCACTATATGAAGAAGATCTGCAGTAGGTCTGAATAATTTATGTCAAAGGCATACTTTACCCTTCGATTAGATAAACAGTGCCCCAGATATATCTTGACTAACATGAGTTCACTCGGCTTTCATCGCTTATTAGGCTCTGCCAAAGAGAAAGCACCATCATTGCTTACAGTTTCTCTTGTCTGTGTGTTAGAATTCCTGCAAGCCCTTTCAAGAAGCCCTTCTCCTAGGGTTTCTTTTATGGGGTTGCACCTGCTTGAATTCAACCCTGATATCATTCCATAGCACTCATCTATGTACTTATGCAACTCTGAAAGTTGCAAAAGTCACTGCAATTGTTGCAAATTATACATGTTAGTATTTGGGTCTTCCAACAGAGTCGTGGGTACGGGTCTTCACGAGCGCGTTCTCATTTCAACCTTTTGTTTTGTTTTGAATCAAAGGAATAAACATCAATCATTAAAGTCTTGTATAATTGACTAGCTATATCAACCATCCAAGCCGAAAGACCAGATCAGCATAGTCAGCATGGCACCCAAGAAACGCATTCCATCTTCCATCCAAAGCTTGGAAGACCTTGCCGCCATCAAGCATGCAATGGCCGGAGTATTTCAAGATGCCCAATTGAACTTGACTAGTCATAGAAAGTTGGTTGTTGTACTCAGAAATATTCAGCTTAGAGCTATAGAGTTGGGTCTCCAAGGATCTTTTAATCTTACTTTTGCCAAGTTGATCAATTTGATCTTGCCATTGAAAAAAGGAGAAAAAGCCGCCGATAGGATTGCTAAGTTCAGTTCTGCGTTTGTATCTGCCATACTCAAAGATGAGCAGAAGCAAAGAGAAGAAGACGGCATGAATGATGAAGATCATGATGAAACGCCAGGGTCCGAGTTTATCGAGTTCTTGGTTCATCATTTATTGAGAGGAACTGACGCAAAGGATAAAAACGTTCGTTATAGGGTTGTACAATTACTAGCATATTTCGTTAATTACATAACTGAGATTGACGAAGAATTATTCCAGGCATTACATTACTCATTAAGAAACCGCTTGAAGGATAAAGAATCAAATGTTCGAATTCAGGCTATTGTGGCAATATCAAGATTTCAATTTTTCGAATTAGCAGATGATGAAGAAAATGCTAATGGCTATAATAAAAAGCATATGAATTCTGCAACTAAGAGCCTTTTGACGGCGTTGGAAAATGATGACGTTCCAGAAGTACGTCGAGCTGCATTATTGAATTTAGTAAAGAACTCAGATACAATTCCTTATTTATTAGAAAGAGCTAGAGATGTGAATTCTATCAATAGAAGATTGGTTTATTCGAGAATTTTAAAAGATATACAAGATTTTCGTGAAATTGATATTGACCTCAGACAAAAAATGTTGACCTGGGGTTTATACGATCGTGATGATAGCGTCAAACAAGCCACCATTCGAATGCTCAATCATAATTGGTCAGAAGTAGTTGAAGATGATCTATTAGAGTTGGTAGAAAACATGAAGATTGTTGATAATGATGTTTCACAACTTGCAATGATGCATTTATTCGAAAATAGGCAAGCCAAGTCTATGCATATGGTCATTAATGAAAGTGACTGGAAGGAGTTGACCATTGAAAAAGCTTTTGTCTTTAGAACTTATTATCAATATTGTAAAAACAACAAGTTGCATGACATAATAGATTCAAATTTCCCGGAATTGAGTGAATTGGCTAAAACTTTGGAGAAATATTTAGAACTTAGGCGGAAAACAATTAATCCTAAAAAAGAGATGCTCGATGACTATAATAGCTTGAAAAGAGATATCGATCGAATAGATGGGATTATAAAAGCCACTTACATGCAGAAAAATCAACTTGTAGGAAGCTTATCAAAGCATGATGATATGATTGAAGAACAGTCTCATCATAAAACAGAATTAGAATCAAAAGTATTAGAATTGAAAAGACAACTTGCAGATCTCAAAAATGATCGTAAGTTAATGGATAAATCAAAAGACTTTAACAACTCAAATTACTTAACAATTAATCAATCAATAGATGATAATAAAGATTTATTGAAACAACTCAAAAAAAACATAAAGCAAGTTGAATCAATTCTCTCCAATGATGCTGATACCAGGCAGTCGACCATTGCCAAAGTGAAAGAACATGACAATAACATCACCCAATATTTTGTAATAAAACAGAAAAAGATGGAATCGCTAATGGCATTGGACGAAGAGTACCAACCCTTCATTGAAAGTTTGACTGATTTAGAATTTATCATTGAACAGATATTGTTAATTATTAAAGAGTATGACTTTGATGATATAGTTGGAAATAGAAGAATGTTACCAATTATTAGAAATTACTTAACTAATGGGGCATTACCAGAGAAGCTAATTGAAGTCTGTACTAATATTTTAAGAAAGATATCTACCAATGAAAATGATTTTGCAAGTTTATGCGTTGAAGTTATTACAGATATTAGAGATTCTTACCTGGATGAATTTAACGACAATGAGTCATTTCATTCAGCAGCGTCAGTTATAAATACCCGTGATAATACAGGGAATGGTGAGCAAAATAAGAGCCACAGATCGAGATTAGAAGAAGATATCTTGGATGATGAACGTCCGAATATTTCTAGCCAAAGTATTAAAGAAGCCCTCGAGAATCCTTACGAAGAAGAAGACAAGCAAAGCGAGAACGGTGAGCAACAGCAAGAAAAAGAAAACGACGAAAACGATGATGATGACGACGAGGAAGATGATGAGATGGTTCACTTCAGCAAAAAGAGAAGAACCGATCCGGAATTACCTTTTGAAGTTTTAATACAATGTCTCATGATATTGAAGCATTATCTCATATTGTTAGACGGGCCATCGTCTAATATCAATCAAAATGAATCACTTGTTACTACGTTAATTAATCCAGGTATTGCAAGTGAAGATTTCAAGATCAAGTGTTATGCATATAGATGTCTTGGATTATATACATTAATTGAGAAGAATGATGCGGTTGAGAATTTGAAGAGACTAGGGTACGTTACTATAAGAGATATCAATCCTGAAAAATTGAAGATAATTGGGATTGAAGGAGTATTTGATATATTAGCAACTTATGGAGTGACAATCTTAGATGATGAGCCAGACCAAGGAGGAGTTGATGCATTATCCTTAGCAAGGTTATTTTATAAATTATTAAAGAATCCAACTTTCCCTACTTTACAAGCAACAGTTGCTGAAGGATTGTGTAAATTATTTTTGGCTGATTTATTAGTTGATTTCGGTAAAGGAAATGTTTCTCCAGAAGATAAAGATGAAAAAGAGGATGGTCAAGCGGTTATTGAAAACCAACAGGAAATACAATTATTGGAAGGTCTAGTATTATCATATTTCCACCCGAATAACAGTCATAATCATGAGTTGAATCAAACTTTAGCATTTTGTTTACCAGTATATGCATTTAGTCATCCCAACCATCAAGCTAAATTAGTGGAGATCAGTGGGGATTGTTTATATCGAATTTTCCGTAATGAAGAGGAAGATAGCGTTCAAACGCCATCGGTGGTTATTAACCAACTAATCAATTGGTGTGACCCAAACAATGTTGTTAACCAAGAAGCTGAGAGAGTTAGTAAGTCAACCAACCATTTTTGGCAGGCGATTAAATTTTTACAAGTGGTGGAACAAGATTCACCCAAAAGAGTCAAGAAAGTTATAATTAGTAACTTGAATAAGTTATTTATACGTGAGCAACTAGGAAGTAATATTTTGAAAGGATTAGATGTTGCAATTGAAGATACGAAAAAAGTCATTGAAGAAAATAAACAACATGATTTGAATTATTCATTTGATGCGATTACCGAAAGAAACCTTGAGAAATTCCAATTATCAATCAAGGAGTTGATCAAAAAGGCACAAGATATTGAGGTTAATTTGAAGTTAGAAAAAGAGCAAGAAGAAAACGAGTTCGATAATTCAAGATCTGGCGAAGAACACCAGGAAGCCACCGATCAAAGTCCCGAGAACGAAGATAACGGTCCCGACAGGGAAGATAACAGTCCTGACGGGGAAGACCAAAGTCCCGAGACCGAAGATCAAAGTCCCGGGAACGAAGATCACAATGATGCTGATTCAGATACCAACAAGCACGAAGCAGATCAAGAACTCCATCCCTCGGAAGATGCCAATGATTCCGAAAACACCAGTGATTCCGCAGATCTAAGCGACACCAAGGCCCAGGAGGACAACAAGCGAAACAAAGAGCTTGCTGAAATAGACCAACTTCTTGCAAACGAAGAGAACATCGAATACGACGTCGACATCAGCATCGACCAACTGGACTCTGACCAAAACTAGCTTTTGCACCTGCAACCACTCCGTACCGCAGCTATACGAGGGTCTCGTTCCCGTCGTATAACTCGTTTGGAAAAGCGAGCGCACGTCTATACGAGCAGATGCTTTCCTTTTTGTCGTTTTGTTTGGTTAGAAACGCGTACAATTTGCTTTTAGCACAAAGGACTACGTTGTCGAGAGAAGGAACCAAAAACGCAAATATTTTCTCGAAGTATAAGATCTGTGAAAAATCCCGTATTGGTTAAGGCTCTTCTTTTGGGTTCAAACAAAGTTCAACACTCGTTCCAAGATATATTCAAAACAAGGGAAACAAAATACAAGAGAAAATGGCTGCTCCTTCGATTACTTCTAATTCTACTAGTTCAACCAGTAATATTAAGTTAGCTGAAAAAAACCACCAAAGAGATCAACAATTTGCTAAGGCTTTACACGGGGATTCCTATAAGAAGACCGGGTTGAGTGCTTTGATTTCTAAAGCTAAAGATGCCTCTGCCGTTGCCACCAATGGATATTTCAAACATTGGGATGGTGGTGTTACTAAAGAAGATGAAGATAAGAGATTAGAAGATTATTCTCAATTAACTGCTCATTATTATAATTTAGTTACTGATTTTTACGAATATGGGTGGGGGTCATCATTTCATTTTTCCCGTTATTATAAAGGTGAAGCTTTTAGACAAGCTACTGCTAGACACGAACATTACTTGGCTCATAAAATGAATATTCATGAAAACATGAAAGTTTTAGATGTCGGATGTGGTGTTGGTGGACCAGGTCGTGAAATTTGCAGATTTACTGATTGTTCAATTGTTGGTTTAAATAATAATGACTATCAAGTTGAAAGAGCCAATTTCTATGCACAAAAATATGGTTTACAAGATAAATTATCCTATGTTAAAGGTGATTTCATGCAAATGGATTTTGAACCAGAATCTTTTGATGCTGTTTACGCTATTGAAGCCACCGTTCATGCTCCTGTTTTAGAAGGGGTTTACTCTGAAATTTATAAAGTTTTAAAACCAGGTGGGGTCTTTGGTGTTTATGAATGGGTTATGACTGATGAATATGATGAAAGTAATGAAGAACATCGTAAAATTGCTTATGGTATTGAAGTTGGTGATGGTATTCCAAAAATGTACAAAAGAGATGTTGCCGAACAAGCTTTGAAAAACGTTGGTTTCGAAATCGAATATGAATCTGATTTAGCCGATAGAGATGATAGCATTCCTTGGTATTATCCTTTAGCCGGTGAATGGAAATACGTTCAAACTCTCGGTGATGCTTTCACCATTTTCAGAACTTCAAAATTAGGTCGTGCCGTCACTACTGAAGCAGTTGGTCTTATGGAAAAACTTGGTTTGGCTCCAAAAGGTTCTAAACAAGTTACCAACGCTTTGGAAGATGCTGCTGTTAACTTGGTTGAAGGTGGTAGACAAAAACTTTTCACTCCAATGATGCTCTACGTTTGTAGAAAACCATTAGATGCTGAAAACTAATCCTTTGAAATAAAAAAATTTTGGTCTTTTTAGTTCTCCTATTTTATTAATATCCTAATTCTTTTATCATTCTTTATATACATTAATATATTTATATACTTCTTTTATCTTGTTCTACTTATTATTAGTTTATTTGGCTGGCTGAAAATTTAAGCCTAAAAGAGAACGTGCACACAAACCAAAAAAAAAAAAAAAAAAATGACAGCCCTTTCCTTGAATTTCAAGTGATAACAGCAATCTATAAAAGTAGGTTAATACCTCTTTCTTTTGAAAGCCTTATACAGCTAGTTGTCATCTGACTATTCCAATTGAACCATTAGCTCTGCTCAATTGTTAAAATACTGCTTTGGCCAGGGTTTGTTTTCCATTTAGTTAGTTGTCTGCAAAAAAAAAAAGGAGGAAAGAGCCAAAAATAGTGAAATAGTTACTGAATATAAAAAACCATCGTTACTATACTTCAAAGATGCTTTCGAATCCAAACCTAGAAGGTTATGAAATAACTCGTAAATTTTGGCAGTACTATTATAATTCGTCTAAAAAGACGTTTGTTGCTCCTAAAAAATGTTCTGGTTGTTATAATGATGATCGTTTCGTTGTTTGGGCTGTTTCGGTTGGGGTTCAAGCCGTGGTTGATGGTGCAAGACTTTATAAAGAGTTGGAACCTTTAATTGACCCGGCAGTTGCAATTTTCCAAAAATATAAGAATAATCATATTAAGGGTTATTCGGCTGCTGAAAATAATGGTAACGATAAAGATATCTACTATGATGATGACGCACAAGTTGCAAGTGCGATTATAACTGCTTATGAGGTTACTGGTAATAAAAAATACTTAGATCAAGGTAGAGAATTGGTTAGATTTCTTATGAGTGGTTGGAATGATAACCCAAATGCTAGAAATAAAGGGGGTGTTAAATGGCATATTAATAACGCTTATTTGAACGCTTGTACCACTGCAGAAGTTGCGAAAGCTTGTTTACAAATTAGTCAATTTATTCCAAGTGAATCAAAAGTTTATGTTGATTTTGCTGCTAAATGTATTGATTGGCAAATTAAGGTTTTACAAGATAAAGGTGATAAATTAATCATGGATGGTATTCAAGATACCGCTGATCATCCAAATGATACTAAATGGACTTATAATTTAGGTGCTACTCTTTCCGCTTCTTCTCATTTATATCATATTACTAAAGATTCTAAATGGAAAGATATTTCTGATGAATTGGCTAAAGCTGGTATTGATAGAAATGCCTTCTTTTATGATCGTGATTATAGTAATGATAAAAGATATTGGAGAGACCCTTCTTATTTCGTTCAATTGATTATTGAAGGTTTGGCGGATTATTTACTTTACGTTGGAGATGATGTTCCAGAAGATTTACGTAAAGGTGTAACTGAAGAAGTTAGACATCATTTAATTATGTTTTACGAATATATGAAAGATCCTGAAGATGGTTTATACATTCAAAGTTTCGAACCCCATTTAACTTATAAAGAAACCTATGAAACCAAATATAAGCGTGAATTTGGTGATAGAAAAGGTTGGGGTTTGAAGAAAGATGATAAAGATGGCGATAAAGATGTTCCGTTAAAATGTTTAATGGGTGGTGCTTCCGCTGCTAGAGTTTTTTTCCAAGGTGCTAGAGTTGTTCCAAAAATTGAATAAGTATGTTTGTTTTCCGTTTTTATATAACGTTTGTTTTCTCTTTTTAATCTATCTAATGTTTATGTTTTTTTTCCATATTAATGGAATAGAGCTTCTTCTAATAATTTTTTTTCGGCTTTTTGAATTTGTATTATAAATCTATAATTACTATATAACTTTTAATAAGAGCTTATACTTTAACTTTATGAACGTCAAATGTTGGAGCAGTTGGCAAAGTAAATGAGTCCCTTTCGATAACAGCTATTTCATTATTACCGAAGATGTCGACTTTTAATATTGGTCTATATTTTGTAGTTATCCAAAATGGTTTTTTACCATCTTTACCAGTTTGAAGCTTTTTGGTGAGTCTTTGATTTCCTTCAATCAGATCCATTTGATCTTCTTCTAAATCTTCGTCTTCTTCTTTTGTTTCATCATAGGTATCAATACTTAAACCATCTCTACCTCTTTTCTTATTCTTGTGCTGGTTATTACTCATGGTAGTTGGAATATCTATTGATAAGTCAAAGAAAGATAACCAACTAGATCCATAAAGCCATAATTTATCTTCTTGTAAAAATAATCCTTGAGGTTTTTCATCTAATGAAGTGAATTGATTTGGTAAGAATTCACTATTGGTCTTTGACCATTGGGTTAATAGACTAAGATCCTGCTTTTCTTTAGATGCATTATATTCCAAAACTTGAGTGTCTTCAGTGATAACAATTAAAGTTTGTCTTTCGGTAAATTTCATTAATTGTGGTGATGATGATAAACGTGTTAAAATATATGGTTGAATATTCGAGTTTAATGGTAAAATTTCAATTGTACCGTTGAATCTTGATAATGCTATTCTTGAACTGTCTTTATCGATAGTGATATCTTTTATACTATTTAAATGGCCTAAAGATGTGAACGATTTGTTCGATTCGTCAATTAAGGTATCGATTTCATCAATTAATTCAATTTTATGCTCCTCAGTATCTATTGTGAATTTATATAATTCGTCAGAAGCTGATAAAATAAGAGCTTTGTTATTATCGTAAAAAAAGACTTTCTTACCCCCTTCCATTATAGAATCAAATTGATCATCCCTAATTTTATTAATTTTTAATTTTGTACTTTTGGGGATTAATGATAATTTGAAAAATTTAACATTATTAATCCTTGAAACAGCTAATAAACTAGCATCTTCGTTTATGCTGACATTAGTTATATTTTCTTCATCTGACAAGGTCAACTTTGCAATTAAAACATGATTTTTTGTATTAAAGGAAGTATCAAATTCGGAATCAGAATTTGATTCTAATACCCTCCATATTTTTATCGTTTGGTCTTGCCACATTATAATTAACTTCAAATTCGAATTGACGACTATGTTTGATTGTTGTTGATTAATGGCTAATTTCTTGTATTTACCATCTTGGAAACCGGAGACTGATTGAATCACAATAGATCTTTCAACTCCTCCACTTACTAAAAAGTTGTAGTTTTTACTTTCGAAAATAGACATTGTTCTAACATCGTTTGAGTGTAATAATCTATTGAAACAATGAATCCATTTAGATACTTTACTTTTATTACTAATAGTTAATTCGAATTGATGTATTTTTCTATCGACACCTGCACTGAATATTTTCTCTTCGTTAACATCTTTATTCAAACATAAAACATCAGCATCGTGAATTTTGAAAGTCTGTAATAAGGAAAAATTATCTAAATCCCAAAATTTGACTGAACCTGTTGAATCACCACTAACTATTTGTCTTTTTTTACTTAATACCATAACTGACCAGACTAAAGTACTTTCGGCTTTTGATTTGTCAACTCTCATATTACTTAAAAGTCTTCCTTTATTTTCTTCGTCAGCTGACCAAATTCTAATTCTAGCGTCTGAACAACCACCAACTAACATTTTGGACTCAAACCATTTTATACTAAGAACCCTCAGGTCTTGTCTTTGACAAATCATTCCATGTTCTAAGTATCCAAACCCCCCTGAGATATCTACTACAACAACTGAACCATCATCACATCCAACAGCTAATTTGTCACCTTTATCATTTACATCAATCGACCAAATAACCCCTGCATTACAATCGTAATTAGTTTTTGGTCTACCGGTTGATAAATCCCATTCTGTTATATAAGTGGAACCACCAATGGAGAAAAGTCTTGGAGGCTCACCTTCAGCTGTGGCCCAAACTAAACCTTCGATAGAACGGCCTTTAGAACCTGGTAATGTAAGTTCATGAATCCAATTAAATTTAGGGTTCCAAATCTCGATATCACCATTACTTCTTCCTACTGCCAAACGCAATTTATTGGATGACGATGGCTTAAGAGGCAATGTAGAAGATGGAAGGGAAAATGCACTAGCTGTTATAGTATGAGGAGTATAATCCACGAAACGACAACGATGGATATCCATTTTGGTATTTTATGAATCAAGTATTTGAAATGTTTTGATAACAAATGGGACCTGTTTGAGTGGAAGAAATCCTTAATATTATGATACTTGTTTTCTATCTATTTCAAACTTCACCAAAATTGGTTATACTCTTGGTGCCCACTAGATATGATCAGGATTTAGATGATCTTGAAAGCTCTTTTTTTAAGTATATTTTCAGTACTCATCTCGAAATTTTTCAACCGCTTTTTTTTTTTTTTTTTTTTAAGTTTTTTTTTTTTTTTTTATATTAGCACCATATACAGGACTCATCGAACAACTACAATTGCAAAATTGCAAAATTGCAAAAAGGATTAGGTATGCATTGATTTAGATATAGAGTATGTATTGATTAAATGGGACGGGACTAGACAAATCCAACAAAGCTGTTCAAAACGTTCAATAATCTTATAAACCATTTGTTTTCGTCGGTGTTTAACACCATATTGATGATTAATTCTTTCTTTTGTCTGTTATTACTCAAAGGTTCCTTTACAAAAGTTCTCTCGACAATAACATTTTTCTTAAAGCACCAAATGATGAAGAGAATGGCTATGAGGCTGACTGAGAAATTTTTCAAGAACTTAAAGGCATTTATACCTAAGAATTTTAGGATAGCCGTGATTCTTTTACGCAAACGAACTGAAGGATCGATATCAGAAAATTCAGATCCATCCGATTCACTAGTAGAAGACCTTATTGCGTTAAATCTTGTAAAAGAGTTGGTATTATTTGTACCTGCCAACGAGTATTTGCCATTCGAGGAGTCCCTTTTATGAGACATCTTATCGGTTAAGAATTCTTTGGAGAGACGATTTATGATAAGATTGATCTCACCTTGCCAATTTTTCAAGTCATTTAAAGCGGATTCACTCAAATCGACTGGGGGTTTATTGGCATCACTCGAACCAAGAGGAGGAGCCGGCAACAGATAACCAGTATCTGCTTGTTTGAACTGGTCCTCTCTTGGCCCCGCCTGAGAAGTTGCATTTGATTGTCTTTGTTGATTGATATAGTCATTTATTGAAAGCATGGTACTTCTTCTTGAATGAGAATAAATTTTATGTAAATTATTTCTATATTGTTGATTTGGAACAACTGAAGCAGAATAGTTACTACCCAAGGGTAAAGGAGTAGCTGTAGATAAGCGATCAGATTGATCACCTGGATGCAGAAAAACAAGCGATTGAGGATAATTTATATTATAAAGATCTTCATTTTCATGTTCAGCTTCTTCATCCGGAGAAAATTGAACATCTTTTATTTGATCCCATAAATATTCTAATTCGCTCAATAATTCTCTTGCTTCCAACGTTCCACTAGCGTAAACTTTCATTGTTTCAATAAGGTATGAAATATATCTTCTTTTAGCTTCAGTCTTAGATAATCCTTCTTCTCGTTTCCAAGCGTCCCATTTCTTTTTAGCACCTTCATCCTCTATGGAAAACCCTATTGGACGGGTCATAATACCTTCAACATTTCCTTCAGTGGCTTGTTTATATAATCCATATAGTCTTATCCGATTTTCAGCTGGCGGACGTGGTAACGATCCATAATTGGAACGGGAAGAAAGCGCTTTTATAGTAGTAATCGCCTTAACAAAAACCCGATCTATATTCCTGTTAGTAGTCCATTAATAAAACAACTTCTCCAACTTCACATACCAATAGAGTCCGACATTTCTTAAGAATTAAATATACAAGTTCACTCCTTCCAACCTATGTAAAAAAGCTTGCTCTGGGCAACCGACAGTGTATCTATCTATATATATATATATATATATCTATATATATATCTTGTTATATAGATAAATATACCAGATTCGATCTGAGCTTTGTTGATATCAGTAATTACTTGTTGTTGTCCCAATGACTGTCAGTGGGGTGCGTCCGAGGTGCTAACAAAGGCCATTTGCACGTGACAGCTAGTGTGGGTGTACGGGCCTGCACAATTAGTACTACGAAGTATAACTACAAAACGATAACTTGAAGGGAAAAGTTGAAGAAATAGGAATATATTCTGCAAAAAGACCAAAAAAGGGATGATAGGATGAAAATGGCGAGCCATTAAACCTGGGAGATGTGAGCTAATGAAATGGACCGATCGTACCCATATACGTAATGGGGTACAATGGTGAGTAGTCAGCTGAATTATTCTAGTTTGCACCAAAATAGGAACCAAATACTTCATTACCTATCAGTCTGATCCGATCAATCAAGTCCTAGAACCTGAATAAAAAGGGACGTGAAATAGCAATGATTTGGCACCAGAGTGTTGGCAAACATTTGTCTTGTTGCAGAATAAAAGAGAGAAAGAGAGAAAGAGAAAAAGCTAAGAATTCAAGTTATCGTTAGTAAAGAGATATTACAGCATTTCCTTCCTATGATGGAAAAGCAGAATATGTTGCTTGATCAATTGAATTTGAAAAAAATTTTCTTTTTTTTTTTTGACTTTAAATAATAGGAGGAATTAAGAATGGAAATGGATTGAAATAAAGTTACGAAACGAAAATATCAATTAACCCTATTAAAACACAAATTTATACATAAAGAAGAAATTAAGTTTCTTAGTTTTCTGGAACATCAATTTCACCATCGTTGATGGCTTCAATAATGTCATGAGGGTTTTTGAAGTTAACACGACAACCAACGGATTGAGCAGTACCTAAGATTTCTTTGGTAACGGAAGCTAAGTTTTTACCGAAAGATTTGTGTTGCATTTGTCTGGCGATTTCAAAGATTTCTTCTAATGGAATGTTACCAGAGTGTTTAACATTTTTTTCCTTCTTTCTGTCTCTTGGTGCTTCTTTTAAGGCAGTAATGACTAAAGATGAGGCAGATGGGACAACAGAAGCAGTGGCTTGTCTGTTTTGGATTCTTAATTGAACGGTAACTTTAATACCTTTGAAATCTTTAGTAGCTTTGGCAATATCTTCACCAACTTTCTTTGGTGATAAACCTAAAGGACCAATCTTTGGGGCTAAAGCGGATGAAGCACCAATTTCACCACCAACAGCTCTTAAGTAAAGGAATTTAACTTCAGAAGGATCAAATTTTGGAGGCATCTTGTTAATATTACTATTCTATAAAGATTTAAGGAAAGGCTTCAAAAGAATAAAAAAGTATTATAAAGCTAGTTTTTTTTTTCAGGCCGTGATGGTAGTTTTGGTGAAATTTTTTCGAATTTTTTTTCCTGCAATTTTCTCGCACTCTTTTTTTTTTTTTTTGTTTTTTGGCTTTGTTTGTAGTCTTTTTACAGTTTGCAAAGTGGTAACTTGTAGTTTCTCACTATTGAAAAAATGCATCACGTGCGTACAGTCTTTGGGTCGGTTTGTCTAGGGCCCAAGCCCTAAGTGAATATTTGGAAATGACTGCAAAATCCATAGTCAATTACAATTCAGAAAAAAGATATTATCGCTAAATCCATTGAAGTCTATGAAAACTATACAGTGACTATCAGTTGTATATCTTTGCGAAAAGAAATAAAGTAATAACATAGAAGAATTGAATGCACAATAGTTTAATACAAAGAAAACGAAAGATGAAAAGGAAAACTATTATCAATTTGTTTTTCACTATAGAGTTCCACCAGGGATATCGTCTCCGATTCTTGAGTTCTCGTAAGGGTCGCTACTATCATCTTCGTCTGTTTCATTTTCGTTCATGTTCGCTAACATACGAAGCATGATGGCAGGATGTTTACCCAATTCCTGTAATTCTTTGAATATTATAACTGGTCTCTCATCTAATTTTAAGATTCTTTCTTTATCTCCATAGCAAATGACCAAAACGTACTTGGACCAATCGTGTTCGGGTATATGGTGTCTTTTCATCGCCTGTTGAAGAATCTTACGACATGAATCTTCAGAAGAAGCACGAAGCTGTTTCAATGGTTCAGTAGATGGTGGGGCTTGGGTTTGTGCTTGTGGTTGTTGCTGCTGTTGCTGTTGTTGTTGTTGTTGTTGTTGCTGTTGTTGTTGTTGCTGTTGTTGCTGTTGNTGTTGTTGTTGTTGTTGTTGTTGTTGTTGTTGTTGTTGCTGTTGCTGCTGCTGTTGCTGTTGTTGTTGTTGATAGGTTTGTTGTAAGTATGGCTGAGATGAATGACTTTGAAGTTTATGGTTACCGGAACTATTTTCATTTGGAGAAGTTAAAGTTCCTGCTGTTGAGACTGTATGCGTAGAAGACAGCGAGCCACGCAGTCTCAACATAGGTTTCGGAGCACCACCATCATCATTTGAGTTTCCAGTTAAAGAGTTGACATCTTCGTCACTTAAAATATTATGATTATTACTAGAGATGGTTGCAGCAGCATTAGCAGATTTACTTTCCACCAATTTTGGCCGGCCATTAACTGATCTTGCCAAGTTATTAGCATTATTACTCACTTTGTGAATAATTAATTCGGGCCTGGAACTACCAGAAGACATGTCCGGCTTGGTTATTGACTGCAGAATTATTTTACCAGTCCCCATGGACAATAAAGATCCCAGAGAGAATCGGTTAGAATAGGTAGGACTTGGTAAACTTGAGTTTCTAGCTTGACTACTAGTACTTACACTATTGCTTCTGGAGATATCATGTCTTGATGGAGGAGGACCAGGATGATGATGATTTGTTGAAGGGAAATGATCAGTGACAGGATCGAGTGAATGATTAGAATGATTACTCAGAATAGAATAAGTTGGGGAGTCCATATTTATAGCTGCTGCAGGACCAGGGTCTAGGGTAGGTGTTGGCAAGGGTTTTGAATCCTTTAGTAATCTAATAACTGGAATTAAATCAGTTTTCAACTTAGTAAAATTATCATTTAATTTTCTCATATCAATTTGTTGATTTTGTGGTGATAATGGAGAAGAAGCATCAATTTCATGTTGTTGTTGGAATTGATGGCCTAGTTTTTTGAGCATATCTTTCATTAGCACCGTTGATAAGGTTAATGATTCCATGGAAACATAATTATTATTGATATTTATATTGTTTAATTTATATTCTGAATCATGTAAAGACGACGGAGGATTTTGATTATAATGGGTGGTGATTAAATCAGTAACTGCCCTTTTAATCAACAACCTAGATGATAGCTTACCAATTCCTAATTCTTTTAAATGGTCAGTGGTAATAAAAGGTAGAAGGGAACCTTCAATATTATTTTCAAGAAACTTTGAACTTATTGATTTTTCATCTTCAGGTAGTAAAGTGGATACATAATTTGCAACCTGTGCTGGATCCCATTGTAGAAATGATTCTTTGGGTATTGCTGAAGTCATTACTCTTTAAATGGCTTAAATAAAGTGATGAACTAGATTATTGAGATTCAAATGAGGGTAAAAAATGTAACTTTGTTGAATATTCCGCCCTAAATGAATTAAATTGCTTACGTATATGGGCCCGGATCCATATATATATATATATACATAAAACCTGGGTTCTTTCCTTGTACGTGGATTTGTTTCAATACGAGTTAACAACTGTTTAGTGAATGCTTGTTCTCTGAAATTTTCTAAAACACTGGGTCTAATAATAGCAATATCTTAAGCAGCATACAATCTTGAGACGCTTGATTCCAAGTTTCATCCGCAAATTCTTGCAATGATGTTGATGTTTTGACTAAACGTTTTCCGTTTCCGTATTTGTTTTCGTTTCTTCTATTGTGCACCTTGTTTTACTGAGGATTTTTGGTTGTTCTCTTTCATGTTTCGTGTATATGCAGGATTTTGAGTTTTTTGGTTTTCAGTCACGTGAGTTTTTTTTGATCTGATAAGTTTTTGCAGTTTTTGATTTTTTGCAGTTTTTGCGGTTTTGCATTTGTCAAAATTAAATCTCTTTATCGAAAGGAATGCCATTTGAATAAGCAATTTATTCTCTGGATTTAAGATGACTGGGCCCTTTAAAGGTACTCTTCATGGTTATGCACCAAGACTAACTGCTTTTGAATTTGATGACGGAGCTCAATTGGCTGAAAATGTTCTCGTATTCATTGGGGGATTAACTGATGGTCTTCTTACTGTTCCATACGTGCCCAATTTGGCTGCTAGTTTGAGCAAAGAAACCAATTCCAAATGGGTAGTTGTTCAGGCATTGATAACTTCGTCATACGATGGATGGGGAACTGGATCGCTTGCTCGTGATGTTGAAGAATTGAGCTTATTAGTGAAGTATTTAAGATCCAATAAGGGTGGCCAACGGAAAAAAATTGTCTTGATGGGCCATCTGACTGGTTGTCAGGATACTATAACTTATTTGAGTAAGCTTTTGGTTAGCAATGACGATCAATCCATTCAATTGGATGGAGCTATTCTTCAGGCTCCGGTTTCTGACTCCGAAGCTTTCGGTAGCGAAGTTGAGCCCGAAAAATTGAACCAGTTATTGGCTGAGTTGAAAGACTTGTTAGATAAGGGCCAAGGTGATACTCTTTTACCTGATGAGTGGCGTAAGCTTATGTTGAACACTCCAATCAATGCTTATAGATTTCACTCATTGGTATCAAAAAGAGGAGACGACGACTACTTTTCATCTTACTTGGATAAATCTGACTTTGAAAAAAGTTTTAGTGTAGTTAAGACTCCTATTTTAGTATTATATGGTGAAAAGGATGAATCTGTTCCAAGTTTTGTTGATCGTGAAAAATTAGTTGATTCTTGGAGACAAAGCACCGATCCGAAATACTGGAGTCCCTTGAGTAAAGTTTTGAAAGGTGCTACTCATAACTGTGGTCCTGGCTCAGATAAAGGTGCTGAGGAAGACTTAATTCAAACAGTCTTGAAGTTTATAAGCAATATTTGATCGCTATAATTTCTCTCTTAGACTATACTTGTTATATATATAAATATATACACTTACTTAATAATGATCATTGATTTCATAATTATTTACAAGATTTATAAGTTCATCATAGAACCGTTTGAGGCTGATCTCTTCAGTCATTAATGCATAATTAAGTCCTGGGCTACTACTAGATAGAGTTAGTTGTCTAAACCAAGATCCTATCGACTTCTTGCTAGGCTCTTTTGGTGGACCAGTCTCTTGGTCTTCTGGGATCAATCGTGCCATTAAGAACCTAGCTTGCGAATGCCCTTTTTGCGTTAATATCATCTTAGGCTCTATTGGTCTATCTGAAGCTAGTTTCCAGCAGAATTCAAGCACATGTATCAATTCACCAGGAGAATCTCCAAATATTAGTTCATCATTATTCGAAGGATGTAATTTTAATTTACCATTATAATAAATGATCACATGAAACCCAGAATCCATTATCAAAAAATGACCTTCTTCAAGGTTTTTCAATGTAACATAGTCTAAAGTAGTTTCTTCGTAATTCTTATGTATTTGAGGTTCGATCATTTTGCACGATAGAGACGTATTAGCTGACATAAATGATTTATGGTAAACAGCCGTCTCATCGGGAGAACTGTTGAATATATTGATTAATTGAGGATTTCTTCTTAAATTGTACATCAAAGATGGTAACTTCTTGAAATTTTCATTAATTCTATAACATGACATTAAGCTGTCATAAGGATTTGAAGATTGTGTAATTTTGTCAATTGAAATGCCTCCAAAATAATGTAATAATCTAACCAATGTTAAATCTGCTTTTTTCACCACAGTTTCAAAATCACCGAATCCTAATGTTGTATCAATTTTATTGATCATTAATCGTGCCAAAAGCACTGCCCATGCTTGATAATCGAAACTATTTAATAAATCACGTTCTTTCATTATTAAAGTTTTGGAATTTATCAATTTCATTCCACTATCTTGATTTTTTAGCAAAATTGATAAAGTAGTCGGCCTCCTAATTGTGGTTACTCTCAATCTAAACGAATTTTCAAATTTATAATACATTTGGTATTGAACATATATTTCTTTTATTCCATCACCGCTTAATTTTGAAGAAGACGAGACAGTATCAACTTCAAAAAAAATTGCAATTGTATCTTCTTCAATACTATTGAACCACCACAGATTGGTGAACTTAACTTTTTTCACGTTACTGTCGAAGGAATCCAAAGTGTCAGAGATTTTCTCCGAATGCATATGATTCAATTTCGGATTTACTTGATAGGTCGAAGGCAATGGGGAACCATTTCCTGATAAAATTCTCAAAATTTTGGCCCCCGTAGAAGTTGATATACTGAATTTTGCATCCAATTTGGTTGCAAGAAACTGCTGAGTACTTTTTTGAAAATTTCTCTGGAAATGTGGTGAAGCAAAACTATCAGATAGTATAATATTACCACATGATATCTTGCATAGGGGGCTCATTTCATAAACACCAACTTGATCTAATGAGCCAGTATAAATATCAACAACGAATCTTGGTTTATCGGAAGGTATATTAAGAGTTTTTGACGAATGAACAATGTCCAATGCATTCAGTAACGTATGGCCAATGGCTAGCTGACCCAACAAACTGTAAAATTTGAAGGAAGAAATGAAATAAGGAGATTTTAAATTCAAAACATCATGATGAGAACGAACCGTTTCACCAGTATGAGAGCCAACAATTGCTCCTGGTTGGAGGGTGACAGGTCCACTTGTCAAAAGAGAAACTTTACCAACGAAATGTTTGAAGCTTGATTGGTTTAGAATAATAGAGCAGATCAAAAGAGCCATACCAGTGGCTCTTACAGGCTTATAAGTATTGGTTAATTCTGTTTTCAACTTGTCCAATTTTATCTTGTGTGCATCATTCAAGTATCCATTAGTTACCAAATCACTTCTTGACCAATCTGATGCCAATTGTGTAAGATTAAGTTTCTTTGATATTAGCCTGGGTGTGTCCTTCAAGTCGAAGTTTTTTGCTTTACTGAAAAGTTCTTCTTGGGTGAACATCACTGAGTCTCCATTCAAGTTATGAACTTCTACTGTATCTGAAAACGATATTAACATGACAAGACTGCCCGCAGGTAAACTATTGATATTCTTCTTTACATTATCTATCAAAAAGCTTTTGTGATCAACCTCATCCCGATGTTGGTATTTATCAATTATGTAGATAAAACATTTAGGAACCGAAACAATTGGGTTGCTTATATCTTCAGGTAATATGTAATCTATTGTGGAAGAGGAAGGATTCACCGAAATATCATTGGTAATGTTATCAAACTCATACCCTTCAGGAAAATAGCTCCTTTTGCAACAAAATGGACACCACCACATTTGGTTAATTCTGTCAATCTTTATATACGGATTAATATAATTCAAGCATGATGAGCAAGATATTGCATGGCTCGTCAAGGTAGGAATTGTTTCCGATTCATTGAACGGTTTATAGAGACAGCCTACCAGGGTCAGAAGCTGCGATTGCTCGAGTCTGGTTGATGGAAATACATTCCAATTGAACCTAACACCCTGCAGGTGCTCTTCCTGTTGGTATTCTTTACGGAGCATGCCAAAGTTTATCGGTATATTGAAATTTTTCAGTACAGCGATGTCTGCTTGTTTTTTTCTATCGGCTTTTTTGGTGATAATTTTTCGGTGAGATAAGCTTATCGGTGGAAGATTAGCGAGCTACGCTAGTCTACAAACAGGGTATTCTCACGAACTAGATAGCATGAAGAGGCTTCTTTGGATGGAGAGGCCTTTAAAATACCTCGTTGGTAAAACCGATAGATTCAGTGAGCAGTGGAAGTGTCTTGTTTGAGACCCCTTGCTCGTTTGGTTAACAAGGTTCTTCAAATGTGTATTGAAAAGCATATATAAAGATCTAATAGCAATCCTTTTCGCCTTATTACGATAAAGGATTGAGATCTTCAAATCGTACCACTAGTGTTTGGAACTTTTCTACCTTTTTGAGAGAACTGCAAAATTCACAAAAGTGTGGCTGCAAATCACTAAATCCTATGGCCACCACACTTTATTCTCGTAAAGAAGTATGTCCCCCAGCTTGGGGTTTATACCCCTGCGGAAAGGTTCCGAGAGGGTTAATTTTATACGGAAAAGTATATAAAGAGGATGATTTTATCAAGTCAAGGCCAAGTCATTATCGAAACATCATTAAGTAAAGATGCCAGCTAGATCACTCCAAAATCCAGGTTCACAATTTGTTTTCAAGTCAATTCAAAAAGACGGCACATATAGTGTCGAGCACGAAAGCCCAAATGCTAAGTATCCAGAATATTTACCAACATGGGATACTAAAGAGTGGTATGAGCCATTAGAGTTCTATGAACATCAAGATCCTGGGAAAAGGGCCGATCCAAATTACCCTAATTTATTCCCAGAAGGTGCTAAATTCACCAGGAAAAATATTACTCCTAATTTAGGGGTTGAAATTGATGGAGTTCAGCTTTCCCAGTTAAGTGATGCTGGGAAAGATGAATTATCATTATTAGTTGCTAAACAGGGGTTAGCTGTATTTAGAAATCAAGATTGGGCTGTCCATGGTCCAAAATATATAACTGAATACGGAAGATACTTCGGACCTTTACATATTCATCCTGTAAGTGGATCACCTAAAGGAGTACCTGAAATTCATGTTGTGTATCGTCGAAGTTCTAGTAATTCTCCTGTTTTCAATAATCGTAACTCGTATATATCTTTCCACCTGGATGTGAGTTATGAACTTCAACCTCCTGGTACTACTTTTTTCGCCATGTTGGAAGGTCCAGAAAGCGGTAACGATACTCTTTTTGCTGATATGGTGGAAGCTTATAATAGGTTATCTCCAGCTTTTAAAGAAAGATTAGAAGGTTTGAAGGTTCTTCATACTTCAAGAGATCAAGCAATTTCTGCTAAAAATAGAGGGGGTATTCAAAAACGTGATCCAGTTAGTAATATCCATCCACTAGTCAGAGTTATCCCATCTACTGGGGAAAAAGCTCTTTATGTTAATCCTCAATTTAGTGAACGAATCATCGGGTTGAAAGAAGAAGAATCTAATTATTTACTCGAATTTTTATTTCAACATTTTGCTAGTGCTCATGATTTACAAGCAAGAGCTTCTTATGAACCTGGGACTGTTGTAGTTTGGGATAACAGACGAGTTACGCACTCTGCTATTATTGATACTTCTGAATTTCGTCACTGTGTGAGAGTAACTCCTACATTCGAGCGGGTTATCGATGATTTGAAAGATTTGAATAAACCGGATGTAAATGGGTTCTTTCCCAAGGAACAACTTTAAATCGTGTGATTAGTTTAGAATAGTATTAATGTCAAATTTATTTTGCAACCTTCTCACTATTGTAATATAGTAAAAAAATGTAAATTTTGTACTTAATTCTACAAAATCAAGATGCTTTACTTGCGTTTTTAACCAAAGCTAGATTCCTCTTCTCGCCAGTGACATATATCACAGTAGTGAAATTACTTCCATCTTGCAGTTTCTCCTGGTGGAAGTCGAAGTTAAGGTCTTATTGATCATTTATACGTAATTTCGCTAAAACCAAAACCCCTGCACCTGGTTCCAGAATTGGTCAACCGGTCACCGATGGTGGTGCTTTCAAGCCTGGTTTACTACCTTTTAGGTTATTCAAGGCTAGGGACTCAACAAGAGCTATTTGTTAAGCTTGGATTGAGATTATTTTGCAATAATTCGCAGTTTATATTTTTTTTTTGTTTTTTAAGGCGAAAAAATTAGGATTTTTTTAAACAAAAAAAAAAAAACCGATGAGATGAGAGAATAGACATTAAGTACTTATCAATCATTTAAGTTCCGTTTAACATGGCACCAAGATTCTCTCAGCAATCCAAAAGAAATAAGACTCAGAACAAGACCCGTACGGTTGAGTCTGAAGTGTTTACTGATAGTAAAGCTAGAAATCAACTTGAAAATCAGCCAAACTTGACCCCAAAATCCAAGGTTAAAAAATTAAGTAAAGCAGCAGTCAAGAAACAAAATGCCAAAGCCAGATTATACGGGGCCAAGAGTGGGAAAGAATATAAGGAAAGTGAATTAAGTATTCCTAATTTGAATAAAGCAATTATACCTGGGGTTAAAGCCACTAAGGGTAAAAAAGGGAAGAAATTTATTGAAGATAATGATTCATTAACTTTGAATAGATTAGTTAAATCGATTAATGATAAGTATGATCAAGTAAATGAAAGTAAATTAGAAAAATCTCGAAGATTAGAAGAATTAAGGGATTTAAAGAGACAAGAAATTGAAAGAAAAGAACAACAAAAGGTCAATAAATTAGAAGATAAAAAAAGTGAATTAAGAAGTAAAGCCTCATTAGCAAGATCAGTTAGAAGAAAGAATGCTAAAGCAGCAAGAAAAGATGAACCAACTGATGAAAAGCCAAAAAAGAAGAGCGTTTCCTTTGCTTGAAAAAGATGATAGCATATAACTTTCAATTCGTTTAACAAAAAGAACATTTTTGCATTTTTTTAATTTGTATTTTAGTATTAATAAATATATATTTCTGAAACTATTTACAAGGGAAACCAGGAGCCTTAAAAATAAGTAGCTCTTCTACGTTGTCTACTTATACGATCATAATTTTGTTTGTAATACCAACCATAAAGGAGACCAGCCAAAGAACCACCAAGATGACCGGAGAATTCAAAAGAACCCCGTCTTAAAACCAAACCACCAATGTTGGCAATGATTGAAATTAAAAAGAAGATCCAAGCTCCACCAGGAACCGGAACGAAAAAAACAGCAATTGGGGTTTTTGGTAATAAATAAGCTAATATACCAAATAAAGAAAATAAAGAACCGGAAGCACCTAAAGAACCAACGAAAAGATTACGTTTTAAAATAGTTGGAATCAAAATAGAGAAAAAAGAAGAAATAGCAGCAGAATTTAAATAAGCAACAACAAAATTTGAAACTCCAATCAAAGAACAAATAGTTGGTCCAAAAGAAAATAACATTAACATATTAAAACCTAAATGACTGATTGATTGATGGGAAAATGCAGAACCAATTAAAGACCATTGGGAAGCCACTTGATGTTTAACAAGTAAGAAATATTTAGTTAGGAAATTCACATACTTAGGTTGTCTCCATAAATAACAAATAAAACAGTTAATACCAATTATTGAATATATCATGAGATTTGGGTTCATTTTGAACACCGACAAAGGGGTGTATTTGAATAAAGGAGGAACCAAGATTGTTGTTGATATACAAAATCCAACTGTAAACAATGCTGGTTTATATAATTTATCCCATTGAATACCGTTATATCTAATTTGACTAGTTGATCTTCTAACTTTAATTGAAGGTTTATAAGTACGAATGAATTGATTTTGCAAAAATGGTTTGGAACGGGTAACCAAACTTGGTTTCACATAGTTTTTAAACCCAAGTAATATACTTGAAGGTCTTATTAGTTTAAACATTTTCACTTTTTGTGGGGTTACTATTAACTGATAAAGTTACAACTTTTGTAAGAGAACGATTAGATATTGATAAATCTGTTTCAGACCCGAGACCTGCAGATAAAAACCGCTGTGACTGTTTCCCGTGACTTTCACGTGACGCATCTAAACTGCAAATTTGCTACTCGCAAAGTGCAAGATGATCCGATTTTTTTTTTGTTCTTCTTTAGTTCTGGTTCATTTGTTCAACGAGCACTGAAAAATTTGAGTGGGAAAAGAAAAAAAAAAGAAGTTGATGTTGAAAGGTTTTAGTACTTACTTCAACAACTAGTATAATAAACATGTCTACTGAAGCTTCCGTCTCTTACGCTGCTTTAATCTTAGCAGATGCTGAAATTGAAATTTCTTCTGAAAAAATCTTAGCTGTCACCAAAGCTGCTGGTGCCTCTGTTGAAAATGTTTGGGCCGATGTCTACGCTAAAGCTTTAGAAGGTAAAGATTTGAAAGAATTATTATTCTCATTTGCCGCTGCTGCCCCAGCCGCTGGTTCTGCCCCAGCTGCTGCTGCTGCCGGTGATGCTCCAGCTGCTGAAGAAAAACAAGAAGAAGCTGCTGAAGAATCTGATGATGATATGGGATTCGGTTTATTCGATTAAGCTAATTTTTTAAGCAAATTATCAAATATAAATCAATGTATCATAATAACTAAGTTAATTCCCTGCACCTCCATAAATTTTTTACGTTTTATAACAAAGTATTGATTAGATAATCAATCAAACAAAACTAATAAAGATCAATTTATCATTAGAAAACATCAATTGTAGCATATATACGAAAATGACAATTAAGTTTGAAAGCAACAAAACACCTTTTCCAAATACATCGAGCAATTAAATTGTTGATAGTGTGAAAAAGGATGCAATTATGCATTACCGAAGCACGATTGACTTACCGGCAACTGAAGTTGCATTTGAAGTGTATTGATTCGCAATAGAAGACCTTATTTTGCATTAGAAGACTTTGAAATCAATAGAGCAATAATTGAGTACTCGGCATTTCGTTTAGGTCAAAGGGTCTAGTCCGCAAAATTATGCTTCGAAATGCTTCGCTTCGCAAACTTCAAAAGTGCTTCGCAAACTTCAAAAGTGCTTCGCAAACTTCCAAGCTCGCAAACTTCAAAAGTGCAACCTTATCAAATAATCCAA